ACACGATTGATTCTTTCTTTGCTGGCTGGGGCTGGCCCCCTCCCAGCCTCCAGGATGCTGTTGCTCCTTCATGGCCAAGCACATGACTGCAGAGATGCTGGGAGGCTGAAGCCAGCAGCTTAGCTGTACCCAAGCTCTGCTGCTTGTAGTACTCTCAGGAAATGGCTGCTCCCTCTCCAGAAGCAGCAGCATTTGGATGAGCTCACCAAGCACAGGAGTTTGCTGACAACCTTTTTTTATTATTTTGTACTGAAAACAGGCCTGTTGTCCAGATAAGAGTTTCCAGTGTTTTTGGTGCCTGCTGTGAAGTGCAGTGGCACTGGAGGGCACATGCAGTCACATCTCTTCTCAGCAGTGCCCACTGCCTCTTCCCCATGCACACATCTCTGCTGTGCAGCATGAGGACCATATCTCCTCAATGCTGCCACATCACTGGTTCAGAGGAGATGACCTTTTTGGTTCCCCATAGCAGAAACTCTATCACCTCCTCCAGCAGCCTCCAGAGCCATGGGGACTGAAACAGAACAGGAGACTCTCTGGGAGCTGCCCTGGGGAGGGACAGAGAGCCTCGCTACCCGCTGTCCTCCCATGCTGTGGTCCCCTGCCACATCAGCTGCTTCATCCACAGAGGCAGATGAAGCAAAGAGAGGTTACGGACAGCATGGTCTAGCCCCATGCAGGACCTCCTCAAACAGCTGGGGAACTCCCTGGATTTCCAGGACTGCATGGAGCAGGGCCTTTCTCTGCATCCTGAAAATGACAGGGCAGAGTTAAATGTGACTCTGGGAGTCTGATGTGGCTTTTCAGGGTTACAACATGCAGGGCCCTCCCAGAATACAAGCAACCTCCAGCCTTTGCTCCACACTGGGATATGCACCAGGCTTGGCAGCAGTGGAGCTACACATAGATGCTGGGCACTGGCGTAGTCACCACTGAGCTGGTGGTTCTGGACCTGTTAAGGTGCTAAAAGTGTCAGGTCCGTGTCTACACCTGGGAGGATGCTGACTGATTCCCAGGAGGATCTGC